GCATACCTATAATTCTGTCCTCCTACACAGTTATTCAGCCATTTGCAATGATGGTCAAAATCAGATACACATTTGTTGCACACAGAGCAATGTTTGCTTTTGGGTCCACTGTTGAAATCGGAAACATTTCACTCATTACTTATGTTATTCATTGCAATTTGCATGAACACCAACATTGTCTTGTACAAATCTTCCAAAGTAATGATTGCAATGAGATGATTTTTAACAAACCTTCCTAGATTCTTATCATCCAACCACAAAATTCACTTGTCCAGTATTATAAGGCCTGGCCTAACCCCTTTTTACATACCAGTAGTTATTAAAATCATTTATCATTTTCACAATCTCATGTATATTCAACAAAACAATATTTAGCTTAGCAACAAACATGTTCAGATTATGGTATAGACCTCCGTCCAAAACTTTGAAAGATGTTTATTTTATATTTTACACTAAAACAGTGGATAGCATTGAAGGCATGCACAGAGTGACTCCTCAAACTCTAAATATCCTTATTGTCATTCACCTCCAAGCAACTTGCACAGGAGTTGTGCCCAAAAACATTAAAAACCACAGAATAAATGAGTCAAATTATCTTTTTGTGCCATAGTATCTCACTGTTTTAGTATATAGCAAAACAACTTTTCATCTCTGTGTCAATGGTTAGCGGTCAATCTTTACATCGCCATATCCACCTCTAGCCACCTTCACTTCTCTTAATGTCCACTAGCTTTAAGCACAAACTTGACCCTTTCTGCCATTCAGTAGAACTGTCCATAAGTTTTCTACAAATCCCTCCAAAACTTAGCAACTTCCCAGCAGAGTCTGAGAAGTTCCTGAATAGATGTTTCTACAAATGTCAAAAGTCTGCAAAAATCTAACTGGCTCTTTTCATAATTCTATAGTTTTCTCATTATCTTAAAGAAACAAATTTATAAAAAGTAATATCAATAGAAAAGCTTACACATCAGCTTGGCAGATATAACAGTGGCAGTTTTCAATAACATGTGCATGCTGGCTCCTATCGAAGATTGCTTTGCCCTTTTGTGTATCACCTCTGATGTTTGGATCAGCTGGGTCTAAGGTCAGTGCCATCAAATGAAAAATGATGTGAACAACACAAAAACCACCTGGAATCTGAACACATTGGTTAAGGAAAAATGCCTTAATAATAGAGTTAACCAATCACAGTGGAGCATCACAGTTTGGTAACATGTAGGTCAAACATAGTTTGTCATAAAATGTGTGTGACTGCATTGTCAGACAAGTACAAACATATGTATCATGTATATTGCAGCTTCTTAAAAAAACAACAAAACTAAATATGTTCTCAGCATTATAAGATACATGAAAAAATTCCATGCTTCTGATTAGCTGAAAACAAGTGCATTCTCATGTAACACAAGTGTAAAGTTCTAACACAAATGCAAATTACAAATAGTATGCGCATGCCTTTTGAAGTTTGTCTGTCTTGCCTTCCTGTGATGATTGTCATGTAAATTATTAATGAGTGGTGACATGATTTGTCTTGCAATTTGGAGTAATAAGCTCTTTTAAATTTTTCAAAGATTACAGTTTGCACTTACCATATGGGCTTGTGCAATTTTGTTGTCTTCAAACAATTTACTTGTGCTTGTTAACACCAAATTGCACAGCAAATCATGTTATTACCTTTTCAAAAACTTTTCTGTAGCAGACATATATGAAGACTACTCTATCGAGCTCTGTTCTAAATTTTTCACAACCCAAACCTAAATATCTCTCTGCACTCACTGCCATATGTCTTTAATAAATTTACTTCTGAGAATTTGGTGTTACAAAAAACTTTATCCCCAATATGATGTTTCCTTTCTTACCATGACCTTCCTACTTGTAAATGTATCAATGAAAAAAGAATCCTGGAAATGAAAGGGTTAAAACTCCTCTGAATCAGAGCTCTAAAAGACAAGTACTCTGATTTTCAACTTAGGTAACTTTAACGAAAAACTACTTTCTTCAGCTTTACTCGTAAGTGATATATTCAAGACAATTGTTACAATAGCGGAAGCGAAGGAATAATTAAGACATTATGACACTTAATATATATTGTTCTTGCATGCAGAAGTCATTATTATGATGAAGAACATTTCCTATCTCCTACTTCTTCAACATTATTAGAGCTTTAGGGGCTGTCAGAAGTAAAAATGTGTCCATGCAATAACCAAAAACTTAAAATTCGCTGCAGTGTAAAAAAAAAAAACTATTTTCACAATTACAAGTTAATGAAGTCGTAAAATAAATTTCTCCAAAAATTCAAGTTTGTTCCCATTTGCGTTAAACGCGAGGAAATTACAAAACTTCGAAGTAAACTTTGCCAACATGGTTTACCACTTAGTAAAGGAATTATCATTGTAGCTGAAACTGAAGAACAACGGAGAAATTTTAATTATGACTATCCACAAAATCATAAGTTTGGAAATTCATTTCCTCCTCGGCAATAACTGTTTCTGTAAGCTTGATATCAGCCCGACTACTATTTAAAATTTAGGGTTAGATATGTTCAGGGAAAGTAGAAAAAAGATAAAAGTTAAACGTGTACACGAACTCTCATCACTCTTTGCTATAAAAACTCAAGTCATTAACAGACAGTCATTAGACATAAAATTACGTGATAAACACTTCATTCTCGCGCTTGAGTCGTATAATTTGTAGATTTCACCTTTTAGCGTTGTGCATACATAGATCTATATGAGTAAAAAAGACCACATCTTCCTGATTTTACGCATAACATTGAAGGAAAGCTCTAGAAGTCAACATCACCAAAGGATACAATGAATCCAGCTGCCTTCCATTCTTCAGGGAGGTAAAACACGAAGACACCAAAATAACAAACTGAGAAAAAGAAAATGAAAAACCACGCGACGAATTGAAGAGGATGCCATGGGCAAGACCAGCCATTTATTCTTTCCTTCTGGTTCATCGTCACAGTCGACGAAGCCCTCGACGAAGTTGCCGTACCGTCCGCTCCGTGAACAGGAATCATCCTAAGAAATCTGTACAAAGGAATAGGAAATGTGTGTTCAAACGATCGTTCCTCTGTGAACACAAACTTCACTGCAAAACAGGAGGCTTGTAAGATTATAATACGTGCAACAAGGTTTTGAATTATTTCCATTTAGACTCACAAAAAATTAAAAGATTAACGCTCGCAATCGTCCACAAAAATTAACTTTTCCTCGCCGAATGAATCAGACTCCATATCGCCATTGTCAACAATAGATGTTTGCTAAGAAAGAAGGGGACGAGGGAGAATAAGCCCAATTGTCGCCATGGAGATTAATAAATAGGAGATTATGACGTATAAGGTGTGACACAGGCCAACTGGCTCGAGTCTCTTCGGGATTTCCCGCAATGCACCCGAGAAGAAATAAATTTCAACAGTGAACCTTTGTGGAGTCGCAAAACACAGCAGCTGCGAGTCTAAAAGATTCAAAAGAACACCTGAAGAAAGAAACAAACTTATTGATGGCGGTGGAATAAATTGGGACCTGTATTTCCTGTTCTCAAAAAGGAAAAACAGATAATTTCCACGCTGATCTACAAACGTCAACTTTATTTCTCATGTAATAAACAATCTCACCACACTACAAGTGACGAAAAGAATATCGTACACATTTGTAATTCGGCAGCTGTACAAACACAAACGACTCACTTCATTTACCTATTTCAACTTTTTTTCATAAAATGATCCTCAGAGTAAATTATACTTATTTAGAGCCACTCCTCTTCTTTTTCCTTTACGAGCAACTCTCGAGGCAAAGGAATATTCAAATATTTTCACACTAAAAAAAAACCTGACTGCGCATGAAGATTCAACTGAGAAATTAAGCGCAGTTCCTGTAATTCTCGCTTCAAGAGTATTTGTCTTCTTCTGGTCATGATCATGTGGAAACGAGTGGCTCCTGGGCCAAGAATTCTACCAGAGTCACCCATTTTCCTGACTAAGTGAACAGAAGAAATGAGGATTCCAGAGGGCACTAAGAACGAAGGCAAAGAAGGCGTAAAACAAGCGGCACGGACAAAGGGGCATTGGAGACGAGGAAATCGCGTTCCCTCTCTCATAGACCACCAGCTAGAGAGGCTAGGCAACAAAGCTTTAAATTTGTTGTGGTCGTCCTGACATGGCGTCGAATTTTTCGCGGTTATGGGAAAAAAAGCGCTGAATTGCATTAGAGCATGTTCGTATGTGTATGGAGAATGCGTTGTACAGATGCATCATTATCGCTATATGAATCCACCACCACCACGAATACATCGTTATCATTATCAGGAACAATCAAGGCCGTTCTCCAAAATCGTACCTAAGAGGCAAACCACTTAACATTTAACAACAGGTGAAGTCTATGATAACCATTTCATTATTTAATTTAATTTAAATTTGCCAGTTACTGTGTATCCAGTGTACTGACAATCGATCCGTCAGTGAACGCAATCGAAAAAAAGGGCAGACAAAATGGTAGGTGTGTCATCTTAAGCTCACTGGCTTTTTGTTCGTCTCTTCTGACCTTCGCCGCCGTAATGTGAGCTTTCCATGTAACACGCCTCCTCAAGCTGAGAACATGTAATACTAATGAGAAAAAAATTATAATACTATGATATTTTGATGAATGGGCCGTGAATATGAATGAAATAAAGATATGCCGATTCTCGCACATCGACCGTGTAGTTTCTCCTTCATGCTGGAGAAAAGTCTTTTGACCAGCAAGAATGTACGGTAACTGTAATAAAAGTCCTATTAAGATTTGTGATTGCATGAGTTCATAACGAATGCAACGAAAGTATCCTATAGAACCTTCAGTCGTTTTGAAGGATGTTTGAGTTCCTCGCCATCAAATTTAATTCGTGAGAGTGCCGTAAAGGAACAACGCCTTAGATACAGTTCTTTATAGGCGACTCGGTGTCTCCTCCAACCGAGCAAATGATATATAAAATACATCTATAAAAATACTCAAACAACGCCAACGTAACCTAGTTTACGACTTCAACTATAATAACATTTAGCAGAGCAAACAGCGAACAGAAGTTTGTGGCTTACGACCGATCACAAAGTAGTGTTAAGGTAAACCTGTAAGACTTGCAACTGTTTTAATACATATCTCACATAACTGTAACCCTCATTTCAGAGATTTAAATAGAAGTTTTGCTCCTGTTAACCCTGGGCTGCTGCTTTAGCGAATGCACTAAGAATGCGCCGTGTGAATGCCTTGAATTAAGACGTTCATTCATTTAGAGTTACAAGGTAAATCCAGATTCTGGGAAATTGTACATGAGTCGACTTGTCAGTATTGTAACATTTTGGAATTAAGTGACCTGACGAGGTAGTAACTCTACGATATCTCTTGGTGTTCACTAAGTTTGGTAGGTTCACTTTTCAAGACCTACATACCATAAAGCCTATTTTTCAGGCATAATTTTAATGCTTTTTAAACGTGAAAATCCAGTGTGTCACTTTGATGAGAGATATGAAGCGAAAAACGTATATTAATCGTAACCTTTAAAAGCAGGCTTTTACTTGATCACTTTTGTGTGTGTAGTCACCACTACCAGCAGAAATTCGTCAATTTTTTGCCGAAAATTTAAAAATCTAGCTTTAGATGACTCGAGAAAAAGAAGAGGATTTTCTCAGTGATCACCGTTGAACTAAGGTCTGACACCGTTGACTTGTGCTTTTGAGAACTGAATGCGAGAAACTAAGCCGGCGCATGCCGGTTATTTTAGAATAAAGATTCGGACTGTTAAGATTTTGCGGATGCAATTTTTCTATACGATTTTTATATTCTTTGCTAAAAGGAAAAAAATGCTCATGGTGGATTGAAAATTGAAAAATTGGTCTACATTTTGAGATAGCCTTTCCGAATTCACCGGGAGGTGACAAGATAGAGAAATTAAAATGAAAACATCTTTTTGTGTTATTTACTATTTATTGAAAGTTCATTTTCGTGTCTACGTTTGAATTATTCAAGCCTACATTTCGCTTAAGGATTGAAATTATTAACACCAAAGAGAAATGTTTTAAATAAGCTCTTGGGGAGTTTTTCAATCAGCCCAAATTCATATATAATACCTCGTTTGCTCAAAGCTTCAATTTCTTTGGGGAATTAACTCTCAGTTAACTCGGTATAAATCTTCTAGTAAAGAAAGAAATCAACCGAACAAGTTATTATTTCTTTTCTCCATACGCAATTAATTATTGAAAAGAGTTATTTAGAAGCCACCAAAAAGCTTTTACAGTGAAAAGGGTTCCCTCTAGGGAAAATGAAAAGATTCGAATTAAATAAGAAACAAGTAACTCCTGGTTGGATGATCGTACGCAGATAACAATTTTAAGTGAACAACAAACAAAACAGACAACATATTAGATTTTTACTTATCGGCAGGTGAAACTAATAAGAATTTCTTTTTTCATCGAGTCCGCTAACCAAATCCGGGGGCGTCAATTATTGTAAACACAACCTTTCGAAGTTTTTGCTAAGCTCTAGTCCCTTGGTTTTCTATTTTACTTTATCAGTTAAATATTTTTCGTGAAAGTTCCTTCTATTTTTTCTTTTTTGATTCTTTTTTCGGCCTTCGACCAGACGTAATATCGTAGGCTTCGCTAATGATTATGATAAAAATAACCTGTTTTTTTTAATCGACAAGGTGTCAAACGTAGAAAATTGCTCGAGAGGCAGTTACATGGCCCGGTGACAGGTTGACAAGGGGAAATCAACTTAATAAAACCTGAATTAGCAGTGAAATTAAATGGGCATGAAACTTACAGGATCCTTAGATCGAAGCAAAAAAGGACAGATCACTCTTTCGACAAGCAAACCCTAAGGGTAAGTTATTTAGTTTACGAATAATCCCCTGAAAGTATAAAGGGCATAAAAATTATTTACGTCTGACCCTATTCCTTTGTAAGAACCGCAACGAAGCACTGAGTTTATTTCACCATATTTAAACGATTTGAATTTTTATTCAATAGTATGCTTTTAGCGTTGACCGTATCTCGAATCAGTTAACTGCGGCAGTGTTGTTCAACATAGCTCAAACACAGGAATTTTTTTATTTTTTAGTGTCTTTTACCTTGCCCGCGAGACTTTTTTTTTTACACTCGTCTGTGTCATTTGAAATTAGCTTTAAGGTCGAATTGAGCTGGCATCAGCTTTGAGGTCAAATGCAGACTAGAGAGAGCTTTTTAATTTCAAAATTAAATCTCTTGGTTTTGTTTAAGTCCCCGAATGTAAGCTATGGACAATTGATATTTTCGCGAAAAGGAAAAGGTATTTTTCATTATGCATATCGCTATCTCAACTAGTTGCCCTTGTGTATCATCCTAATGTTCTCTTTGCCACCTCTTTTGTAAAGGTAAGGCGCTTTCTTTTTAAAGGAACCGTGGAAACCTTCTTCGAGTTTCACCAGCTATCGAATGTTCAGGTGAATTTATCCAAGGTTACTAGAGCTGAATGAAAAGAGCTAAAATAAAGCTATTGCGGAATACCTGAACCCGGTGGCTGTTTGTTCAAAACCATTTAACCACTTTCACAGGAAACAAATAACGTTACGTATTAGTTACAGTTCGTTGTCAATCTGTCAGCAGCTGAATAAATTTTGAATCATCGTATACGCCAAATTGAAATTGATCAAAAATCCGAGCTATCTTGACTAGAAGAAACTGTAAATGAAAAATTATATAGTGTGATCTAAGGTGAACGCCCTGATTGCCCTGTATTAGAAACGTGTTCTGTAGGTGAGCTTTTGTGCAGGAGAGGTGTGAATTCAAATTGCCTCTTCATTACTCGGCGGCAAATGGTGAAAATTCCAATAGTTTTTATCCGGCGAATGAAGTTCCGATGAAGTTATCCAATGTTTAAAAGCGTTTTTGCCTTAAGATAACAACATGTATCAGTAAATTCACTCTCAGATCAACTAGACTTTCTTTCATTTCATTTTCCATTTGTTTCGAAGCATTAGTAAATCCCGCGGCGGCCATCTTGAAATTAACCTATCAGACACCGACGCCCTACGCGGGATTCGAGGCGCAGTCAAACCTAAACCAATCAGAACACACTTCTCTTCATAGAATCACCCGCGAGTTATTATTATACAAGGTCTCTCATCCATTAATCTATTTATAATCAATTATGCTAATTTTCGTTAGATACTGGAACTGTAGGAATAAAAAATGTACTTCAAGATTTAACTGATGATGCGCGTGATAAACAATGTTACCAGCACAACCACAGAAGTAGTCAATTGCTTAAGGGAAAAGAAATGTTTGGTAGTAATATTGCCGACGGATTGTTGCGTAATGCAAAAAGCAATACCATTTGAATCTTTTTAATTTTGATCTTTTTTTTAAAAACAAATTGGTGGTCTTTTGAAAGATAGCGATATGTCACCGGCTTTTTTCAACCTGAATATATAGATTAAAATCATTGCCGATGGAAATGACAAGGACTGGTCGGCGATTCGTCTAAAAGATGTCCTTTGTACAAATTGTATTTTCAATCATTTAGTCCATTTGACAGCAACGTACTCAATTCAAAGCCAACAAAACTTGTTAGCTTTATGAAAAATGTTATTTTGACTCTCAAAATCAGACGTTTGGAATCGATCTGCGTGGGTATGTTTGTATGGGTTGCAAAAGAAAAAAAGAAAAAAAAACCGACATCATTTGACTTGCCTTACTTTTCGAAATGTCATTGTACTCGGATAATGAGTTTCAAAGTTAATGATGTTTACGATAAAAGCCGGAATATAAGATGTAACAATTTCAATTCATACTTTCAGCGCTTTGACTAAGTAAAAGCGGCAATTAAAATTAGTCGGATGGGTTCATTGATACACATTGAGCGCACAGGAAATGTTATTGTCGGAAAATCCAGCAGAAGAAAAACAAAACTACCATGTTTATTATGTCTTTGGATTTTTCCAATGATATAACCCAAAACTTCGTAATTCTGTACTTAGTTTAAACCGTTTCTTACTGAAGCATCTTACGCAAAAGGTAGTCATTGAAACAAGAGGCGTTAGAGGGAAAAAAAGGTCACCAGCTTGAAAAAGGCCAAAATCATACGGTTAGTAAAGTTTATGTACGTCGTCCTTCTTTTACCAGTGTGACATCTGACCAGACATTATATTCCTTTTTACGTCCAGAATCCTTTGTTCTTACTAGTTTACCATTGTACAGAATTTTCTGATGGCTTAAAAAATAGGATTTTGACCCAAAAATCAATGAAAAAAGAATTACGAACTCAAAAGGAACGAGAAGGACTCAACTCAAACAAGGAATTCATCTTCAAGTAACCAAAGATGTAACAGAAATATATACTAAATGAGTCACATCTGGGTAAAGATGTGAGAAAAATGAAAACCTGAAAAAGTTCAGTTGAAATCACTTAGGAATGCTCACTGAAATAGAGAGGTAAAGAATGAGGGTACGACGCAACAAAAACCTAAACAAAAGCCAAAAAAATTGAAAAAAAACGTTGCAAATGTTAGAGTATTAAACCAACCAACTCAGATTTTAATTTGAGTCGTTTTTAGTCAAAATTTTTAGCCTGAAATCGACTATCTAGACTCAGTGCTATTGATGCGTCATTAATGTACTAATGCACTCATCGTTATGAACATTTGACATTTGATCTGTTAAGAACTCAAAGTTCTCAGAGTGAAATTTAGCAAGAAGTTTTGCAAGAAGTTTAATAAAATTATCCTAATATAACTGAAAATTAAATATTTGGATTTAGAACTTAGGGCTTCGCATTTACTTTCAAGACTATTTGATTCCGTGTTTATGACATTTTTTCAATTTGAACTTTGGGAAACAGCCTTATAGAACATGATGATGGATTGCAACATTTAAAAAACGACTTAAGAATGGCTAAAGTAAGGTTATCACGGAAATTTAGGACATTTCTTAAAATGTCCCTAATTTCTGCAATTAACCCTAAAAATCCTCGCGCTCAAGGGCATGTTCACCGCTGAGAGTACTAGCCAGTTATTGTTAGTGGAAAGTTGGCAGAAAACGTTATTAACTCCAATTTTAAGGATTGCACGTAGCGTTCATATCCTCTAACGAAATCTTGATAAGCTCTGATCTGAGGCATACGGTCGGTGGCTTTAATATTATTTTATGACTCCTTTGAACGGCAGGTGAATTACACGCCACTCTTTCACAGTTACCTTCGCAGGTACATAGTAATTAAAAAAATTGCACTGAGAAGAGAAGCCTGAATTAATTGTGACTAGATTAAATTGATTGATTATAAGAAAGATTTCTCTAGGGAACGAAAAAGCTGTCGGAGATTTGTCTTATTTTCAACCTGTGACTTCGTTGCTCAGTTAGTAACAGCACCTTTCTAGAATCTTTACGGCAAAGGTTTGATTCCTGTTAACAGTTCAATTTTTTCAGACTTCTTTTCTGCTATTTCTTTAACTGCCGCTTACCGAAGATCGCCTCTTTTCTTGGTTTACACGTCTTTCATTTGTTTACCTGGACGAGGAGTCAGATCACATGAGGCGTTTTGCCTCGTCCACTGAAAGCTCTTCGTGGGTCACGTGATTAGCCTACCTTCCCCTACCTTTACGACAGATGAATCGATCACTTTTTGTTAGTACATAGTATATTTTCAAGTCGACGTAAGTTTACCCAATTCCTTTAAACAGTTCCCGAAATAATAGGATATCTGTGCAAATCATCTGAAATGATTCGTATATTTCAATTACCCTATAGCTACCCGTGGAAAAACTGTTTTGATAATTTTGCTACAAGATGTTGGCTCGTTCCAGTCTTCTCATGGCCTGTGTCATCCTCATCCTGTTACTGGGCTTGGAGGCCGAGCATTTGCGTGGGTTTCCTGACATAGATGAGGACAGCGACGTAAACAAAGGCCAGGGAGACTTCTTTCCCGAAAAGCGTAACAAAGAATCTGTGGAGAAAAGACTCCACCGACGATTTCAGTACGAAAGGCGATTTAGATCACGAAAGGGATGCAAAGACAGGTTTATACCACTTTGCGGATGAAATCGAGACTGATTCAATATAACATTTGACGGATATTTGTAGGAATCAAAAAACTGACCTGTCCATAACCTCAAAAGTGATGTAATTAAAACAATAGAGAAAAAATTGCCCAAAGCAATGGTAACTTGTAAGATATTGGGAGATTAATCAGACCGGGGAGAGAAAAGAAGCCTTTACCAGGTTTTCTTCTAAAGAACGAAAATTTCGTTCCAATTGGCGCATGATAATACTTTAATAAAACATTAGTCAGGTATGTATGGATTAGCAATCTTTTGTTATTTATTCGATTCTCTTTTATTGTTTACAAATGTTCTAACCAAGGCAACAACGAGCTTTGTCTACTAAATGCTTTAAGGAATTTTTTACAAGACTTTCAGATCGGAAAGAAACTTCTTTCAAATTTTTAACTTTGTGGATGTCGAAGACTTCTCTCACCTCCAAGCTGCTGATCAACAGCGTCCTAGGTCGACGGAAAAATGCAGTTTTTTCGCTTATCTTGGGCCATTTGAATATTCAAGTATATTTGAAATGGAAGCAAGCTTTCCTTTTTAATTTTATATCGTGTTCATCTGAACAAATGTTTAAAGAGGAGTCTTTCGAGTCAAACTGTTATCTTCTTACTGATCACCATATGATATATTTAGCTTTGTTTGAATGTTTCGAGCTAAGAATAAATTTGCTTAAACAGTCACGTCAACGACGAGAAGAGCTGAGACTAATGGAGCTCAAAGCTTTTGATTTGACACTTTAAGAGGTTTTTCTAACAAACTTGACGGAAGTGCTTTCTATCTAAATGTATTAAGTAGCAGTGATTCTCTGCGGGCATACAAGACTGTCATGCGCTGTTATGAGTTAAAAATTGTCTGAGAATTTGAAGATGTGAAGGTCCCACAGTGCCACGGGTAAATTTTCTTGAGGCCGTTTATCCGAATAAGTGTGAAAAAGGCCTTAGAGAGCTTTGGTCAACAAAGTCATTAAGGTGAATCAAACGCTGGAGATTTTCGATGTACTTAAGAGTAAATTCAGATAATGTTCTTCATTCCATGGACATCAGTGCTTTAAGGGAAGTCAGACCGTATTCAACCCGACCGTCAATAAGAAAATTTGCGGAAAGTTTAACAAAATTGTTCGATAGCGTTTTTTCCCGAGAAATCACCTTAACTCAGACTGAATCCAACCTTTCTCGTCTGTAATGAAGTAAAATTTATTTTTAAGTGAACTTTAGGTTTATTCTGATTGGCACATGACACAATAAATGCACTTTTTTAAGAAAAATTAACTTAACCTAAAATGCCTTTCGAAAGTTAAATTACATTACTGTCTTTTTCAATAACTGATATTTGAAGCCTAAACATTACATCACGTCCGTGATGCAGTCATAGATAACCTCAATGGTTATTTTTTCTACAATTGTTATCCCAGTGGTGGATTTACAGGTACGTTTGACATTACTTTATTCCAATCTATGCCGATAATATCATGATTCACTAAATAACTTATAACTCTTTGACTGACAGCAATGGATAACTCTATTCGATAAGTGAAAACCAGCAAACGTCAAATGAAGTGATTCTTAATTCTTTGGTGGCCTGTTCGATCCAGAATTTCATGCTCCATTTTCGTTAGCTTCTGCCCTCTGAGTCTGCGCACGCATAGGTCCTGAGTCCATTACGCGACTTCTGAGTACCGACGCCATCTGAAGTTTTCGCTGTAGCTGTGATCAATAACGCAAAAAAAAACTTTAACGTAATTTAATGAAAAAATGGTATACGTATCATTTTAAAAAACATATATCATGTCTATTGAAATATTCAATATAGATATCAAACAAATGAGACCGATTTTCCATGATGCTCTTACGCTTGAGACGAACAAGAAAATCAATATAATTTAGGCACCAAGCGAAGCTCTTCAAAGTCTTAGAACACTTCTCAGAGGTTGCCATCAGTCAATCTATTACTTCAGACGAACCTTTCAATTCTTGGTTGACCGAAAGACATTTTATGAAAACAGTTGAGTTCCCTTGTGTACAAAACATTATATAACAAATATTTACCTTGAACGTTCTTTTACCGACTTTGTTAGTGACGTAAGCTTCTTCGCGCGTGAACAAAGACAAAAAGATGGAAAAATAAAGTATTACGCATATAAACTTTAAATGCGCCATAGATCTCTAAACTTGGATCTCAAAATAAGAGTTATGATAGGCTGTAGTGACGAGACTGACTAGAATGTATGGTGTTTCGTGTTCAAATATAAGCCCTATATACAATGATTCTGCAAACTTACCAACACCCCTAGCTTCAGCAAAGCCGTCACATTTGTCGTTCGCTGATTGGTCAAGACGAGCTTTGCACATAAAACCACGCTGTGAGAACACAGCTGTCGGAACATGACTTCGCACTCCAGGTTTCTTCAGCTGCTCTTCTAATTCACGAGTTCCTCCGGAAATATTATAATATCTCAAGCAGGAAATTCGCACGGAAATCGATGAATCTTCCTCGTTCATTTATTGTTTTGAGTATCAACCGCTTTCTAGCTTCTTATGACAAATTAAATAGAACGCGTCAACACGAGTAACAGAAATTAAAGTTTCTGGCAGAAAGAGGTTTTTAAATAAGCCTCTATATGTAGAGGTTCAATTCTAGGCCAAAGACTGATGTTGCTTACGGACGAATACTTTGCCAAAGTACCCCAACATAGATGGCTTTAAGTCATTGAAACACGCTTTAGAATGCGGAAACTTAGAGAATGATTGTGAAAGAAGCACTTTTGCCAAGTTTTGAAGAAAAACTCTCTACGTTTTGATTCAAAAGCTTTTAGCCCAATTAGTCTCAGCTATGTTCATCGTTGACTTGACTATGCAAATTTATTCTGAGCTTGAAACATTTAAACAAAGCTGAATTTATCATATGACTGATGATCAGTAAATAGATAAAAGTTTTGTTCGAAATACTCCTCTTTAAACTTTTGTTCAGACGAACACGATAGAAAAGGAAAAAGGAAAGCTTGCTCCATTTCAAATACACTCGAGTGTTCACCGAGCACTATGACTGCTGCGATCAGCCACTGTCATTGGCCACTCCTTGAAGTGTAGGCGCATGGCTGACGTCATGGATTAGTATTATTTTTGATGCTTTGTGCAAACTGAGTAAAGCATTTTGCAAATTTTCTCGACAAATTTCCAAATTTACCTTCTAAACACTTCTAAAAGATGTATTCGAGAGCATTTTGTAAGTACGAAAAAGAAATCAAAGTCCTAATAACGGGAACGGTTTAGGGTTTAAAGAATAAAAAAGTTTGAAAACTGACAGAATTATTCATGGTTTTCATCTTAGCTTTAACAGCATTATTATATCTGGTCATCACTTGACATATTTACACAACGTGTAATTGACTTGACCCACTGTACATTTCATCAAGGTTACATGTTTTTTGAATGTTATCTATTTCCTCATTTTCCTGCTTCCACAAAACCGATTACATTTGACAATCCACCACTTTTCACTTTTTATAGTACTCTTTATTCATATAACCAAAATTCTTAAACAAAAATTTTATTAAGGAGTCAAAATTTCTAACAAAGTACGTCTTCACTGTCTACGATTCAACCCTATCTGTTATCTTCGAAACATTTTGAAAGCTTCATCAGCTTAATTTTAATTATGCGTAGTATCAAATTGTATTTCCGGATGTGGTCGCACTATCAGAGGGATCATTTTTTACCATCCTCTTTTAAATCCAAGTAAAGAGTGTCCTTCGTCATCATGATCTCCATTCTCAACAGCAGCTGATCAAATGATGGTCTCTCATTTGGATCCTCCTGGTCAAACACCAATTCCTAGTCAAGCGCCAGCTCGTACTTGATAAGAAAAACATACATTGTATGAAAAGTTCGACATGTCTAAATTTAATTGTTCCTTCTTCATTTCGCCGGCAGGTCTTTGAAATAAGCCGCATGCGATGCTTTTTTTTTTTTTTAAGATTTTGGGTGCAGTAATTTTATGACATCAATTCATGTCAAGAATTTAAGAAAAACTTAGAAATTGGGCCACTTTTTTAACAAATGAATATGCCTTGTGCTCTGTTATAAGGTGTTCTTAAGCTAGAATTCGTGTTCTATAGAAGCTGCATATTCGAGACTGTATAATATTACGTTAGCGTATTGACTGCATTTAATATGTTTCACTCTCTACATCTGTGTTGATTTTTCGCTGAAATTCTGCCTGAATCTTAGTTCACTTTGACTTCCATAAGTTTTTTTCGATTTGAAATCGGTCTTTTTACAAAAATTCCCACCAGAATGATAGGATCAGAAGATAAAAGTCGTGAATCATTCAGTAAAGGCGTTTTTTTTTTCTTTTGCGTTGCAAACTTATTATTCTAGGTAGATAATCGCATACTTTTATAAACTAGGTATCAAAATAGGTATCACGCTTTCAAAACTGTATTAAACTATATTAGCATTGCTTTTTAAGGTATCGTAATGCACATTCCAGTCTGAAGTGAAGATCTTAGCGGGAGAAAATGTATTTTAGCCCGCTCGCACACTTGAGCGATTGTTCAGACTTCTTTGTTTTCAATTTTTTCTTCAGTTCTTATTTTCCCGATGACCTCCTAAGTAATTCTGACAATATTCTATTTTATGTCGTTGGGCATAAATATGTTAGGCGTCGTCTGAGGGCATATCTTAACCAACGACTTGGGCAAAAATGAGTCTGAATCAGGCTTAAATATATTTAGGCGCGCGAACATGGACTCTATTGTTTTATTTCTCGAATAATGAAAGTGCTGATTGTTTTCAAGTCATCCCGAAACATACATCTACATTAGATGAGGTTTGCATTTGGTTTACTATGTTACTCCGAATCCCAGCAGTATTTCACTATAGAGCTGAGCACTACAAATGCAAATTATCTCCGAGAATGCAAAATTCGTGAAATAAGTGTTTGGTGCATCTTACGCACAACCTTAAAAAGATCGCTAAAAATTTCTAGTCTTTGAACATTTCAATGACATCTTTTTTCTCTGGTCTGTATACGATGATCTGAATTACTCAGTGCTTCTTCGGCCTAGAAAATTTTGTTGTTAGCCGTCGCTTCGACTGAAAGCACCAAACGGAGTTTGAGGATGTTTTAATTAGTATACATATGGGTTTGAAAATTAAACTTTGAGCAAAACTTTCATATGACAATCCCAAACAAAGAACATGTCCACCAGATGGTTATTACTTTCCCAGTCGTTCTTATCGCGTGAT